GCCTCTCCAACACGCACAACAGACTGGCACTTGGCAGTGATGTAAACAACTGAACAAGACGTGTCTCCTCCTGGAAGGCAGCTGCAGGAACAAGCCAGGTGTCAGTGAGTTCACCTCTCTAAAGGCTGCTACTTAATCCCAGAGCAGGAGCCCTCTTCTTGGGGTTCTCCCCTCCTGTCAGTCTGTGCTGTCTGGCCCGAGGGAACCAGAGCATTGAGCCTCTACCCAGGCCTCTGGAGTACTGCCCACCCATATCCCAGGTGCCAACGTGCTCTCCCCGCTTCCTGCCAGCCACGCTGACCCTGGCCCACAGCAGCCTTGGGAGCTCCAGCCCAGCATCCTGGGCTTTGGCATTGCCACTTTTAACAGCCATGACCCCCTCTGACAATGTGCTCAGCACCACACCGTGGTAACCTGACCAACCTCCATGCCAGCCCTTCCGGGTCGGGAGCCATCATTACTGCCACTGCTCCTTGAGTGATTCTCAAAGAATCTTTGAACAAGACAGTGTCCGGTACCTGCTCCTCACTGAGTTCATTGTTCATTGAACTCAGTCCACTGTTCTCATGTGAAACTCTGAGAGAACACTTTCAGTCTTCCTTTCAATGGAGCACCACACCTAAAGGAAGTGTGGTCTCCAGGACATAGAAACATGTGCATCTGTACTCTCCTGGCTGTACTCGGGGACCAACAAAGAGCAGGTTCAGGCCCTGGAAGGTGAGACCAAGGATAGAGCCTGAGAGCGACTGTTCTCCACGCTGAGTTGGTTGCACATTAGAATAACTGGGTGGGGTTGGGGAGGTGATTTTTCAAATGTCCAAATACCCAAGGTAACTTCCAACTCTGACTCAATTGGCCTAAGGGTCAGCACGGGCACTGGTATGTTCTAAAAAGCTTCCTCCGGTGGATCATACAATGCAGCCAAGATGGAGAACCAGTGCTTTAGAGAAAGAGACAGGGACCATCAGCTGAGACTCCCTGTTGGACCAGACAGTTGACAAAAAGCCACAATTTCAAAGCAGTTCCTGCCCAAGGCCAGACAGTCTCTGCAGTCTACAGAGTCATCGTCAGAAAGGCATGTTCGATGCTGGTGCCATTTTTCATCCAGACCGTAACCCACGCGAGCCTCAGTTTCCCTAACTATTAAAAGGGCTGCTCTAACACTTCTCTCATTATTCCCACCCCTTCTTTTCCAGCTTTATGTATCTCCTTCTCTCTGTCTCTCATGTAAACGCAAACTGTTTATACATTTGCTTTTCTACCCCTGGAAAAGCATTTTATCTGCTGCACTGAAATTAGATTTGAGCAGTGCTTGCCCTCTAAGTAAATAAAATCACAGAAGCCATAAACTGTCATCCACCCAAGGTGTGTGACTGGCGATGTTATATTCCACACTGTGCAAAGTACTCCATTCGAGGGACTGCAGCTAGCATTCCCTCTGGAAAAGCTCGTGATGAATCATGTAGCTCCAGCCCACTGAACACCAAGTTGGGCAGCGGCTCTCCCTGCTGCATAGCAACAGCCTACCACAGAGCTTACCGGGTTTGCTTTCTCTTCCCTCTGAGCTTGATTTAATATCTACTTATCAAGTAGAAAATTCATTTTGGAACTATTTTCAGGGCAAGTACAAAGACAACCACAAGGATATACTAGCTACATTACTTTTATCCAATGAAATAAATAAATCTTTACCCTACAATAAACTCAGTATGTAGGAAGGCAAGCAGCCTCAAATGGGTGTCCTTGGATGAAAATCAGTGCAGAAATATATAAATGACCAGAGGGTATAACAGAAGTCAGAATAAAGCAGGTCTACCCAGGACCCCATCTACCACAACTGAAGTGCCTGAAGATTTGATTTAATGTGTTGCTTCAGAAAATTTCGACATCCAGCAAGCCCAGATCTTCATGTGGACATCCAAAGACACCCACACTCACTGTGTCCCAGTCAGAAGTCGTCCCCTGCCCTCCTGTTCTTTTATTTCTGATGTTTCCACCCAGTCATCCTCATCAAAAACCCTACAGTTATCCCGAATCCTGTGTCTACCACATCTCCACGTTCCCTCCAAATGTCTAAATCCTACAGACACCACTGCATTCACTCCTCACTGTCAGTCTCTTCATCCCAACCCTGGAGCCCTCGCTTTAATTTGCTGCTTCTTTATTTCTCTGCTTGATTCTTCCAGTGACTTCCTATTCTCCCTCCACGTGAATTCTGCCTCCTCCAATGTAGCCTTCTAACTTCTGCCACAATGATCTCTATGAAAAACCTCCATCAAAATTTTCCTTTCATTAAAAGCCTTTTATGGCTCCTCAGTGTCCACTGGGTGAAGTTCAAATTCCAGAGTATGTAAGACCCTCTACAATCTTACCTCTCTCGAACCCTAGGTCTCCTGGGCTTCACCGAGAACCCATTTTCCTCATGAGATGAGCCACTTAGAGTCCCTGAGCACTCCCCTGTCCCTCATCTCCTAATCCCTACTGGGGCTGCTCTTTTTAGTTAGAAATCCCCCTTTGCCCTTCTGCCCCGGAAAAACATACTATTATCTCTGGACATTCCTCCTCCATGAAACCTGCCCTCTGGAGGACCCAACCCTGAAGAAAGAACCAGGCACCTCAGTCCTTGGGCCCTGGTCATGCTTATATCATATCATCTATAACTTTACTGCGTTAATTCATAACAAAACTGTCAGATAACAGAAGGCAAAGGATTTCGTCTTAACAAACTCAGCATCTCACAGCGCTGCCTGACACACACTGAGGATGTGATAAATATTTGTTAAACGGATAAACTTCTCAATTCTAAGAGGGGCTCCAAACTATTTTCTTTACAGCTCACACACTTTTCTTTCAGCTGCTTATAATATGGAACTGCCTCTCTGTAAATTATTTGCAGAGGACTGAAAAATAAATCAGTAAAGACGATAAATCAGGGCCGGGGATTTAGTTCAGTGGTTCCAGCGCCTGCTTTGCAAGCACAAGAACCCGAGTTCAATCCCCAGTACCAAAAAAATAAATAAATAAAATTCTAAAAAAATAAAAAGCATGATTTCCATTAAAAAAAGAAGATAAATCACTTCCTATCCCCTGAGAAACCACTTCCTTGCTCTCTGCTCCTGCAGAAAAGTCTGTTTCAACATACCCCAATAACTGATAGTGAGAAATCAGCAACATGCATTGCTCCAGGTCCCTGCCCCTCCCTGTTTTCCAAGGATGTGATTATGTGAAGGAAGCCCAAGGAGGAGACACTAATTAAAGCAGAACATCCGTTCCATAAACCAAGACCAGCTTCTGAGCCCACATGTCCCTGACATGTGGACAGAACAAGGCTGAGCACAGAATCTGACCTCCTCAACGTTTTACTTCTAAGCCGGTCAGGGAGTCACATACAAACAAAGGCATCACCCTGAGTGCAGCAGCCAACAGCTATTCCCGAAGTCAACATCTGGAAGGCTCTAGGCCACTCAGAATTCCATCTACGAGGTCAAGTATCTGCAAAGTGTCTGCCACGTCATGTAGCCAGCGAGTCACCTCTTCTCCAGGCACTGATTTCATCTTGGAAAATGGGCAATTTAAATAAATGTTTCATTAACATAGTGTTTTCCCGCTTAATGCTAATATTCTTAATTTGTTTTCCCAGACTCTCATCCACAGAATCATTTCCTGCAATCTTCAAGGCAATCTGAAACTCTCTGGGTCCCTTATAGACAATCCAGAGAACCTAGAAACCAAACAAACAAATAAGCTAAAAGCTACCGAGTCCCATTTGTTCCGGAACACACACAGCAAATGCTGTGGGTTCTTCTCTGAGGCACACAAAGGTCAGAACAGGACAGACCATCCTGACCACCTCAGGGGTGCTGGGTTTGGACGGGTTGCAAAGCAGCCTTGCATGGGACACTGTTGGCCCCAGCGAGGTGAGAGATGGCATATCCAGAAGGATGTGGGACCTGTGACATTTACTGTGAGGCCCTAGAAGGCTTGTTCCCATTCAGCTTTGCTTATCTGTAATGGGATTCTTGCTGTGTGCTGATTCCAAACCCCCAAAATTTCAAGGACATTTTGAACACCTTTTATTAATAACAACTCAAAATTTTCCAAAGCACACTCTGTTCAGATTCATGCCAAACATGCAAAAGCAGGTACTATATAAGGATTCATTCCCCCAAATTTTGTGAGATATGGTGCAATGGCTTAGTACTGACGATGTAGGGAAGAGGGCCCGACAACACTACAAGATCACCTTGGGGTGCATCCAGCCACGTGAGGGTGGTCTATGTTTGTCATTATACCAGAGAAGATGAGTTCTACTGTATCTGAGGAATAAAAATACAATTCTTAATGAAGAGGTGAAGCACCTCAACAGCAAACTCCACAGAAACTTTGGGGAGCCCAGTGCCATGCCTGTGGTGCAGAGTAGGGAAAAAAATCACAAAATGTAGAAACAACCCTGGAAGTATGGGCGTCCCAGGCTGAGTCACACACAAGCACCATATAACGAGGCTTCGGACAGCAATAACAATAATGGTAATTACTGTTAATAATATCACTTGTGGGGGGGAGCAGCTTCCCATGCTGGGTAGCAGTGCTGTACTAGGCACATCATGAACACCTGGTGAGCCCCACCGGACTTAGCCCTTAGCACCCACTGCGAGGGGCTGACATGAGCTCCACTCCAGGGGAGATTCAGGCTCGGGAACCGGCCCGCAGCCATCAGCTGTACTGAATGGCAGGGCCTAAGCTCAAAACCAAGCCTGCCTGACAGCTGTGGTCTCTGGAAATAAGAGCTCTTGCCACGACTGCATGAATGCTGCAGGAGAAACCAGGTCTCTGCAAAGTGCTCAGACACCACAATACAGAAGAGCATTCCACATCTTCAGGCCAGCAGCTGGGGCCCCCTCTGACCTCCGTGCAGCTAGCCCCTGGGTAGCAGGCACCTGGCCCTTCTTCTGCAGGACCTGGAGGCAGGCAGGAAGGAGGCCCGGGCCCTCGGCACTTACTTTCTCAGAACGGCGATCTCGTTCTCTATGCTGCTTTCTTTGCCCTTCAGTGCCTTCTTGGGGATGCACTTCACTGCAAAGAGCTTTCCAGTTGCCTTCTCCTCGGCTAAAACCACCTCAGAAAAGGCCCCACTGTGAACAAAGGGGAGAAAAGAAGACTTAGGGTTAGGAGTTCTGGCTTCACAATGGCTCCTCTAACCCCACTACCAAAGTCTGAGCGACACCAGCAATGGGTGTGAACACAACAACTCTATCCAGCACGCTTCCTTACCAAGCATCTTTATGCAAAGCAAACACACGGGCAAGTGTGCACTCGTGCAAATGGGTGTCCCCATGGTTTGGTGCAAAGGGACCACAGAGGTGGACGTGGGCTGGCCACCTCATGGGTCTACTTGACACCTGCCACATGCTGCATGGTGTCCCTTCAGAGCAAGCAGGACACTCCCCAGGGAGGAGCCCCCTACAGGGAAGACTGGCTTCATCAGCAGCTGTCAGCCCTCTCCCAGCCACACAGCCCAGAAAGTCATCCTAAAATCCCCAGATCCCCACAGGCCCTTTCATCCAGCAATATTTCAGAACCCTTCAGAAATACTGAATTAATTTTCATGATAGGTAAGGCTGTAACTACAGTGTGAGCTGGGCAACACGTGGTAGTGACATGGGTTAATTAATCGCTAAGGGCAGGCAAGTTTTCATTAAGCAGTTTATTTCCTTTTCAAACCCAACAAACACACAAGGACCACACAGTGGGGAGGATTTATCTACCTGAAAATATAAATTTAATTCTGCAATAGCAGAGAAACACATCGAAACCAGGCTGCTTGGAGCCAGAGAGGCTCTCTCTTCCCAGCGGGGCAGAGCCCCCAACTCTGTGATGCAGGGACGGAATCCTCCACCTTTTCCAGGCCACAGCACCTGGGCTCTGAGCATCCAGGCCAGGGGCAACTTTGATTTCCCAGAGAGAACCAAAGATGGCTCCTCCCACAGCTACGACAGGAGCCAAACTCTCCTGTACCCAAAGACACCATGAAAGTACCAACGTCACCCCAAGACCTGGCCTTAGGGTCCTCATACTTCAGTCACAAGCAAAGAAATGCCTGAGCAAGGAGAACATATTCTTCTCTCCTTTTGCTTCCCATCTGACAGCGCCACAGGAAGATAAATGTACATTTTTTTAAAGTCCTTTCCAGTGATAGACATCCACATCTGGTTAGTGCAGCTGAGTCTGCAGGACACTGTTCCTACTGGAACACGAACTCTCAAGGGAGACTCCATCTATCATCATTTAATCACACAGACCTGAGGGACAGAAGCCAGTCACTCCATAAAACACCCAAGGGAAATCTTCAGAACAAGGATCTTCGCCCAATCTATACCTTACTAGCAGGTAGAATTCTCCCCTCAGAAGACTGGCTCTCCAACCTTCCCGAACCAGTCAGAACAACAATCATTAACTGTAAATACACAAAAACCCTGGTCAGCTCTATCACAGAGTGATACTCAGAATCAGACAGTCCCAGTAACACTGGCCACTGCCAATGGCTTTGGCCCAAAATAGCGAGGTCAGAGCACCGGACTCAGGCCCTCCTCTCCCACCTCGAACCCGGGACAGACGAAGATGGATTCATCTGACAGATGGTGACCCCAAACACTCACTGGTACTGTTCCCTCCTTGTGCTCCCCAGAGGGGAACAGGGCTGTGTTAGAGCGTAAGAAAAAAACCACTGGAGAAGGGCTAGGGTGATTTGATCCTGGATATTCCGCTCTCTACTTTCAGCTTCCGCTTGAGTCCCTAATGCTGATGGCACCACAACGGCTTCATCCTCAGTCTGTCGCAGATGCTAAGGCCACTTTCCAGGAGGCAGGGAACCCTCAGCAGCACCTGCCAGGGGTTGGGACGAGAGCTGCTGTCCGCTCCATGGGGGCGACCCTGCCCAACCCTGCACCAAAGGAAACATTCTGCCTTTATTAAAGGGGACCCTCGGCTGGGAACATGGGGTACCCGCGGGGCAAGTGCTTCCCTGCTCTGTGGATCAGTCGCACCCCAGAAAACAGGCAAAAGTGAGGTGGTGCCCAAATCAGCCCTTAAAGGCTGACAGCCTGGAAGGGGCTGGGAAGTCTCCGGTAGTGCTAGGCCGCTGCAGGGAGCTGAACAAGGGAGGCGGTGGTGTCCCTGCACCTGGACTCTCTCTGCCTTTGTCCTGTGGGACAGACGGATGCTCCGCAGGCCTGAGTGAGGGCAGAACATGGGTAAAGGGGCTCGGGAGCTCAGCAGCCCTTGTTTGACAGACATGAGCCAGCCAAGGAGGGGCCTGGGAAAGGTTCAGGGCCCCTGAGGGACAAGAGACCCCCAAACACAGCCACTGGCTCAAGTCACAAAACCAAAGATACAGACCCATTCTCTCAGAATGGAAGTCAGCCTGCATCTCCATTCCCAGGCAGATCCCAGAAGAGTAAAAGCAGGAGCTTGAGTAGAGATGTGTACACCGTGTTCACAGCAACATCAGCCACGATAGCCGGAGGTGGAAGCAACACAGTGTCCATGGCCGGACAGATACCCGACAGGTGGACAGAGTGTGATCTACACATGCAGGAATATCACTCTCAAAAGGAAGGAGGTTCTGACATACGCTATAGCATGGATGAGCCTGAAGGGCTAAGCCAGTCACAGAAAGCCAAACTCGACAAAATGCCACTTACGTGAGATCCCCGGAGTGGTCAAATCCAGAGAGACAGAAAGACAATGGCGGCTGCCAGGGGCTGGAGGCAGGGGAATGAGAAGCTGCTGTTTACTGGCTGGGAACAGCAATCTGTTTGGTAAGATGCAAAGGCTCATGGTGCTGATGGTTGCATAGCAATGTAAGTATACTTCAGAATGATTGTATGTTTAACAACTGTACACTTAACAATGATTAGAATGGTAAAGTTTATGGTACATCTATGTTACCACAATAAAATAACTAAATAAAAATAGAAAGTCTGCCTGCTTCTACTCAATGGCATTGCTTGAGAAGGGAGATGTAATAACTTGGCAAACCTTTTCACTCATAACCTCCCTGAAGGAGAGAGAAATTGCATGAGTAGCCGCGGGGTGCCATGTGGCAGGAGCCATTTGATACCGTGAAGTGCTCTGGCAGATATCAACTAATCCGACCCTTGCTGCAAGCCCAGCGAGTACAGGACCCAAGAGGTTACAGTCACCCAAACTTTAGACTGAGGATGCAGACCTCAGCTGCAAAAATAGTAAGGGGCAGAAAGCAAAACTTTGTTTCCTAACCCTCTGAGGTCTTCCTACTAGAGTATTCTGGAAGGATGCTGGCTGCTCCCAGGGAGCGGGGCTCATAAGCACTGCAGGCAACAGAGTGGACGGGTCAGAGCCTGTCCTGCTGGGGAGCCACCGACCCTCCCAAGTGTGTTCATGCACTTGCTTTATCAGTTAGCAAAGCAATGGGCATTTCTCTCCTTTCAGACAGAGCATTCTGGTCCTGGGGACACGGAATTAGCGCAAACTGTTATTATTCTTACAATAAACAGAAATGACTTGAAGACACTTCCCTTGTTGAAAAAAAACCTAATTAAAAACATCGAAATCCAAACCACGAACGAAGAGTTTGGGTAATTTCAGTGTAACGCCACAGCACAGTGACTGTGCGTGAGAAAGAGAGGGGTCGGGGTGACAAGGGAGGCAGGGAGGAGGCAAGTGGGGAGGGTGCAGGGGCAACAAGACTGCAGCGAGGAAAATGATGCGAGGCTTATGCATTAAGCCTTCAGACACACAAGAAAATAAAGTCCAAGGAACAAAAAGCAGGAACAAAGACTGACAACATTTTAAACATACAAAGAAGTCTGAGCAAGTTGCAGGGCTGTAAACCCCAAGTGCGGTGCGTAGAAAACCGAACGGCAGAGCCCTGCACCAGCCCGTGTGTCCCTCGGGCACCTGGAGACCTCCGGCCCACTGGGGAACTGCCAGCCGTGCCCTGCTCCACTCTGTAATCTCACTGTGGCCCTCGCCCCCACTGGTCAGGAACTAGGCAGATGGCCCTGGGGGTCTCCCAGGGGCTAAGACCAGTGGTGGCGTCTCACTGCTGGACTTGGTGGTCTCCGTGTGACATTTGATCTCCTCCGCTGCTCCCTAAAACTCTCTTCTTGGTTCCAGGATATGGTTGCCTCCTTCCACTCACTTCCCCGCCTGCTCCCCTTCCTCCCTTCGAATGTCAGTGACATCCAAGGTCTCACCACCAGCCCTTCCTCCTGCCTGCTCTCACCTCCCCCAGAAAGCCCTTACTGTTTTCACTGGTTTCGCCTCCTACTTCCCCAGGATGGGGGAACTCTCACTGCATTTTTCTCAGGTGCTAATCTCATCTTCCCACACCTTCCAGGGCCTCGAGTCTAGGCTAGCCTGCTGCTGAGCACCAATACGGAACACAGTCCTGCATTCTCTTCTTGCTTCCACCGACCCAGTGACCCAGATAAAAACCTGTCCGCTTCACTCCTGCCTCTCATTTCCATCAGCAAGTACAACCAGGTCTTCTGCTGAGAAGACTCCCAAGTGTGTCCTCATTACTCTGCCTCTGAACCACCTGCCTGCCTCCCTTCTGGTCCCTCTGTCCCCAGCAAGCCTACCTCCTCCCTGCTATGGCCTAGCTGCTCCCAGAATCACCTTCCTAAAACAAGATCTATGTATGCCGCTCCCTTACTGAAATCTTTGAGGCTCCACATCTAAGGTCCCGTCCAGACCTGCACCCAACCTGGCCCCTCCGGACACCGGTGCCCTGTACCCTATACCTCACCTCCAGCTTCCCCACAGCACTCAGGGCAGTCTGCCAAATGGATCTACTTCCTTTCTCACCAATGGCCTTTCTTCAGCTTCTGCTACCTTCCCCCTCCTTGGATGTCATTTCTTTGTCTTATTGCTTGGCCAAATTCCATTTCGTTTTTTAAGGGCCCCAATGCTACATTTCCTCTTCTTTTAAGGTTCGCTTGATTGCCTCTCACCTGGAGAGATGACAACCATGTACGTGCCTTATGCCCACACCGCCCCACTTACACACACCGCTGCTGTTCTGGGTGGGCAGCCAGAGCTGTGCTCTTCTGTTCTGTGTCTCAGACCTAAGCACAGTTGGCACTGACTG